CATTCCTGTTTCCATCTCAGGGGCCACAGGCACCTGGTGACGGACCTGTGACTGGAGGAACTCAGCACCATCTCACAGGGGCCTCACTTAACCAAAACCAGGGCTTTGAGGTGCTGGTGTGCTGCTCCCCGTGCACATGAACTCGTTTTATAATGAAACTAAGTGGCCCAGTGCGTGAAATTTGTGCATGGAGGAGGGGCGTCCCTCAGGCCGGTCTGCACCCTCTCCAATCTGGGACCCCTCAGGGGATGTCCAATTGCCAGTTTAGGCCCGATCCCACCTAAACCGGCAATTGGACATCCCTCTCGAAATCTGGGACCATTGGCTCCTAACTGCTCACCTGACTGCCTGCCTGATCACCCCTAACCACTCTGACAGCCTGCTCGCCCCCAACTGCCCCCCCTGCTGGCCTGATTGCCCCCAACTGCCCCCCACTGCTGACCTGCTCATCCCCACCCCTCCCCCCCCACTGGCCTCCCCCCCCCCAACTGCCACCCTGCTGGCATTCTCACTCCAAACTCGCCCCCCCCCCACTGTCCTGATCACCCCCAACTGCCCCCCCCCAGCCTGATTGCCTCCAACTGCTCACCGCACCGGCCTGCTTGCCCACAACTGCCCCTTCCTGCCTGCCTGCTTGCCCCTAACGGCCTCTGCCTCGGCCCCACCACCATGGCTTTGTCCGGAAGGTCTTCTAGTCTAATTAGCATATTACCTTTTTATTCGTATAGATGGGCAAGAAAGAGCAGAGCCTGGCTCTCCCCTCCGTAGGAGCTCCAGTCCCATCCTGTCCTCAGCCCACAGCCCCTCCCTGATATCTCGGGAGAGCTGGAGATCTGTGTCTCCCAGGAGGGCATCAGCCCCACCCCCACCTTTGCACTACCAGCCCCACCATGTCCAGGGCCTGGGCCAGCTCAGAGGGCTGCCGGTCCAGCTGTGCCTCCATTACAAACGGCACCCTTTGGTGCTCCCACCTGGATGCCCCAGGGAACAGGTGACAGAGTTCCTGTGCTCCCCACACATACACATCTGTGGTGGATGGTAATTTTTTCTTTTCTTTTTTGCCATCTTCTGGTGCCATTTAATTTTCAAGTTGTTTTGATTCTTGATGTGAAATGCTTTCCCTTCCTTATACCCGTATCCCTTTCTCCTTGAGCCCCTCATGTTTCCTCTCATTTTCCCTGGAGAGAGATGCACCTCTTCAAAGCTCAGAGCCCAGGCTGGGCTGAGCAGAAAGCGAGGACGGAGGATGGGCCGTGGCTTAGAGGCCTGAACAGAGCTTGGAGGCTGGTTTGGCTGCTTCCCGGGCTGTGCAAGACCACACTCAGCCTCAAGCAGCCTCAGGGCCGTGTGTGTTCCGAGTGGCAGCTCTCCGACCGCAGACTGAAGGTGGCAGCTTCTAATCCACACTGTGCCACCAACCGACCATGAACTGCCAGAGCAAGAAGGGCCCCTAAGAGCTCGCCCAGACCAAATCCAACCTCCCAGAGCGGAGGACTTGCCAGGTATCCTCAGTGACATCAATTCTGGGGCAGAGCACAGTGACACTGTGACTGGCTGTCCCTTGACGGGCCGTCCAGGTGTGTCTGGACCCCAGGACGGCCGACCTGGCACTTCCTGGGAGCCCCCGAGTGCACCTGTCATCACTCCCCAGCCAGGTCTGACTGAGCCAGAGCCAATCGCGGTGACAAGGGGATCCTGCCAGGGATTAGGGAGCAATGGCCAAGCTCCTGGGGCTCCAGCAAGGCCGAGACGGCCGAGTTAACGCTAGGCTGGGCAGGGT